TTGTCTGAAATTAATTGTACGTTGCTAAAAGAGAGAATGAAAAGTGGCCAAAATTACACTAAAAATCAGCCTCTGGGGACCCCTGAGGGGCTGATACCCAGAACTCGGCTAAAAAATGGTCGTTGAACCTGAAACTTTGGCATATTACATAAGTCCACATAACGACTTTGTGCACCAATTTTAAGCAAAATCGGCCAACCTTCATTTCCAAGTGTGCCCCGGTCTCTCAGGCAGAAGCTCTTAAACTACATTGTCCAGGGATCCAGTTTTTCATAATTTTAACTAGCTAAAGGTAAAGGTTCCCTGTTTCATCAGATGTATAAAAGATCTTATCCATTATTTCCAAGAAGGCCAATGCCAGAAAATGTTCTCCTGTTAAAAGTACTTGAGAGTGATTCTAACCTGCAACAAAGCTGCTCTCTCATTATGTTGCATTGCTCTGGTCACAAACGTGCTCAATGATATGTCACCAGATCTCTGACACTGCAGCTTCAGTTTGCTTGTTATCAAATAAGGAAGGTAGTGCTCCTATATAAAGGAAGGCAAATGCATTAGCATGATTCGAACAACAAGTAGAATGTTGCATGGTCTACCAAGCATGACACTGTCTTTACGGATTAGCTCGGAGGGATGTTAGCTCAAGGTAGATCTCTCCCGACCCCTTACGCCCATACACACCCTATCACTGCATGTACCTTTGCCAGCTACGTTTGTTGGCTTTCAATTGTCTGAACAAGCTGGGTGCTTGACTGAGTGGGGAATCACAAGGCTACTGCATTGTTCTGCTGCAAACGTCAATTGCTCACAAGAGCCAAAAAAAAAAAAAAAAGAGAGCGCATGACACTTTTTTCTCTGTAAACCTGACCTGGAAAAAGGTGTCGGTCCACACTTTGTCAAGATCGGGAGGATTTGTATCGTCTATGTTTTCAACTGTGCACTGTTCCAAGTCCTCCCATCTAGCCAGGTTAGCAAGACACTGAAACGAAAGAGATATTACATTATAAAGATTGCATAAATTGCATAAGACGAGAAGTTCAATACAGCCTAGATTTAAGTAACAAGCCATTTCCACATCCTGCATCAGTAAAACACCGTAATAAGACCTGGTAATAAGACATGGTTTAAATTTATCCTTACGTAACATAATTCTTCTCGACATTCACGACAACAACACTGTGGAATCTGCATTAAAGGCCAGCCGTCATCCTGCATTGCAACTATACCAACATCTCAAACATCGCAATGGTTTAAAATACCATTATCCTTTTTTTGACACAGTCGTGGATATGTAGTATAAAATTAAACATTTCAAAGACAAAGCATTTAAGCCTAAGAGAACACATCCATTACATACCTGTAACCTAGCATCATCCCACAAATCTTCTTCTTCTTGCAGTGGCTGCCCATTTTCCCAAGCGTCTTTTCCAATGGCCTGTCCAGGAATTGAAAACAAAGGAAAGTTATTGAGGAGCTTGTCTGGACAAAAGAGTATGATCCTTATTCAAACTATAACAAGTTGTTAAATTCCATCCAATTATAAGACCCCTCTAGAAAGAATCTCCCAATCCTTAGACGCAAAATCTCCTCCACTCCACCATGTATGTAAGTGCTGTTCATATTTACTGACTATTAGCCCCTTAGGGTGGCTAAAGAGGGAGTTAAAGAGCCCAACTTTTAAATTTTTCTATCTCAAATTACTGTTTGGTCTTTAATCATCTTACATGACACTTGAACGATGGGTAATAAATAGCCAAAATGAACCACAGAGTACTCAAGGGAGGACTGGATATAGTGACATACGACCCTACCTCAAAATTTCAGGAATTAGAAATTGGCTCTGATTAAACACGCAAAATAAAATAACAATCTGCAAGACAGATTTTAAGCTATTCTTTGAAATGGGCAAAATTTCACTTTTTCCTAGTCTGCAAAAAGAAAAATTATCTGATGGTTCAAGACTTTTTCTTGCTGTTTTAGTTTCTTTCCCTTATGCATTTTGTTTCAGTACGTTCAGTTATTTGACGATTGTAGATAACGTGACCCTGAAATTTACAAATACCAGTCCAACTATTTCTGTCTTCAGAACAACAATAAGCCCTTAGTTTACTAACTAAAAAAAATTACGAAATGTAGTTTCACGCCTTAACTTTGTTTGATCTCACCTCATTGTAGAGTTTAAGGGCCAAAGAATAGTCCCCTCGCGCTTCTGCTTCCAATGCCTTCTGGGTAATGGGTTGGGTGCCAATGTGCCCAGTGAAGATACCTCTCAATACGTCATAGTCACCTAAAGACCTGTACAACCTGGAGGGCAGTAAGTTAAGCATCTTACTTTTAGCAACAAAGAAACTTGAGGGTGCTGGTTGTCATAGATTATAGGCCGATGCAAAGACAGAAGAGGGTTTAATTTATAAACCTGAGTGCGAGTGTTTAATAAAAACGTTCGAAGTACACGTGAGTGATTGAAATGGCTCTATTAAACAACATACAGTGTACACACATTAACCTAGATACTAACTTTGCGAGTTCTATCCATGATGTGGTTACTTCCGAGGTTGGGGAAGCGGAAGACCTAGCTCGTTTACGGCTACTCTGACCATCATCCTCCATCTGTAGTAACTGTTTCTCAAGCACCATGATACCTACAATGGACACTGTTGTCAGGGTTCCGCATCTTAACTAACACATACGCAAAGCCTGGACCTTGATATGTTCATTGTAAAGCATGTAAAAAAATGTTGGGAGTAGACATCAATGAAGTATAGAGAGACATTACTTTGGGCATGTTTTGTTTTTGTTACTCTACTTGGATAAGAAATATTACAGATGAATTACTCTCTCCTTCGCAATAAACAATATGCTAAATATTAAGAGTTTTTATTGACAATAACCTCGCCTGGATAACTCATTGACAACTTTGCTAGTTAAGTTAGTTACATTGCTTGGCGTCATTTTCAACTTAAGACACCTGGTCGTTTCAGACACCTTTTACCTATTTACTGTTCTCTTATTTTACCATAGACAACCTTATGGACAAGTCGCCTGAAGCAAAGCTAATGAGACAAATTTGAGCAAAATCCTTATTTTAGAAAAACGCGTACCCTACGCGTGCCATTCTTTTACCATCTTTTTAACAGCTTGCCTCTAACTAAGCCTTAATTTTTGTTTCGGTCTCTAAGTACGTGCATAGACATCACAAGATGGACTTTTCCCGAGGACGGCAAACCTCAGAATGTCACGCTTGCCATCTGGTTTGCAATTTAACGTCCGACACGGTCTAGAGGTAAGTGATTTCCAGCAGAGTTCCATTGCTACATGTACTTACATGCAATCATCGTAAACTCACGCTTAAAGTCAGAAGCATGTTTCCTGTTAACCTCAACAACCGGGCTTCACAAAAAAATGGCTGGCAACATATCAGTCGGGTGATACGAGTTGAATGAAAAATAAACAATGCACCGTTCCTAGCACATGTTTACGATGTTCCAAAGGACGATTTGGTATTGCGCATATAAAAACACTATTTATCTAATTCCTATCTCTAAATATTTTTTACGTATTTTAAAGACTTTTTTGGCTCTAAAAACTCTAAAAATCCTTGACCTTGCTAAATTCTTCCAAAAATCTCCAGACTTTTAAAAATCTTTTTAGCGTCTAAAAATCTCAAAAAAGATCCGGATTTTTGTAGGTAGGCCTAGTTTAGGCATTCTAAATGTTAAATCGAGAATATAAAATTTCTCTCAAAAATAATATGTTGTAATTGCATATCTTAAGTCTGCAAACTTATCGGTAGTATAAGTGACAGTCTACATGCGATACCTTAAAAGAAAGAAGTGTTAAATATTTTTAGTATAATTCCCAGAAGTGCATATGAGAAAGTATTCCAAGGCTTGGTTACTACAATTTTATATATACGAGGCCTTAAAAAGAAGAAATAACTAACGCACTTACTGAATGGCTGACTAACTGTCAGACTGACTGACTAACTGAATGTCTGACTTACTGACTGACTGACTGGCTGGCTAACTGACTAACTGGCTTGCTGGTGGCTAGCGACTGACTAACTAACTAACTAACTAACTGGCTGGCTGACTGACTGACTGACTGACTGACTGACTGACTGACTAAGTGGCTGACTGACTGACTAAGTGACTGACTGGCTGACTGACTGACTGACTGACTGACTGACTGACTGACTGACTGGCTGGCTGGCTGGCTAACTGCCTGGCTGCCTGTCTGAGCAACTGGGCGACTGAGTGACAGAGTGACTAAGTGACTAAGCGAACTAATTAATGTATGAATAGATGGTTAGATGGAAATAAATTAATCATTAACTTATTCCTTAGCAAAAAACATTTTACCCATAGGTTGCTGCAGGCTAGCCAAACATGCTGTGGTAACAGAAAGTGGCTCAACAGAAAGTTTCCTTTCGTGATAGCAAATGCTCTGAAAAAAGGAAACACGTACTGTTAATACAGTTGGCATTTGGGTTATTGTTATCCTTTCATGAAGAATACAGATAATGTGCAGTGTGTTGCATCCTACTAGGCATGTTATGAGAACCAGTGAAAACCTTGCAGGAACTGTTGAAGATCATGTACGTGCTTTATTGAATTTACAGATAAAATGTGTGGGTATGTTTACATTTTGATGCAGTATAGATCTAATAGAGTGGCGGATACATTAAAGAAACCCGCTGCATACTTATGACTGATAACCCAAAATAGAAACATTCTTTTCTTTCAAAGAAGGTAGTAACCTGAACACTTGAAATGAACGGTGGAAAGAATTGCGTCGAGGAAGACATCAGGTCATTTATGGCTTTTTTGACGTCCAATGTAACACTAACGCCTTCCCTCTCCGGTAATTTCTCTTCAATCTGAGAAAATACCGCTTGAAACAGAGTGCTGAACAACTGCTTAGCAAAGGTACTGTCACACTGCAACAAATAAGCAAACAAAAATATTCCATAACTTTTCTAGCTCCATAATGTGTTGAGACTTTCAAGCCCATTTCCAAGCTTCGTGAGAAGCTTCTCTTTTGTTATCTCTTCACTCGACTATGCTATTTCCTTTACCTTCAGCACCTTTTTGTTAGTTTTTTGTTTCTTGCAGATGCCTTGAAAAATATGATTTTTGTTCTTTTTCGTGTCTTTCTTTTTTCCTGCTTGGTGATGCGGGTTAATTTGGGAAACAATTCCCTCAATAACAAAATCCACTTTTGATTTTGATACAAACATCACAAATGTGCGACTGCAGCATTAGAAGGAACACTGGCTTAGTTATTTCTTGTCATGGAGACGGAAGCATATAATTCTAACTCTCGTATACTATGTTATACTATGTTTTGGCTACACTGGAGCTACCTCTCACCTGTGCCACTGCTTGCAAGGGGGCGATAAGTTCTGAAAATTTGATCTGAATATCTGGCAAGTCTCCAGTGCGATATTTCCTGTACATCACCACACTGCTTTCACGAGCAGCTTTTTGTCTCTCAAGGGATTGCTAAGCCAGAAATAAACCAAGGCATGGTCAGAACAAATATGTGAAACCTCGCTGATGTTAACTATACTGTGTAGGCCATTTCCGAGTTACCTTGTGCCTCTGTTTCGAAACAAGTGTCCCAGCAATACCTCCCTTATGAAAATGAGTAAGATTTGCATGACCATGAACATGTAGGTGGAACACATTTCCATATGCTTGGTTTCGCTCTTAGACCCGTTTTGACACAGAGGCAAAAGGTAACTCGGAAGTGGCCTATTGATTTGTTTCAAACAAGAAATAAATCTGAAAAACTCCGTTAACTGAAACAAATCTGGTAAGCTAATAAGAATTAAATAAAAAAAATGCAGTATGTACTTCTCTGAGTCTGTTCCTCTTTATAGCCTCTTTAGCAAAGAAACCACTTTTATAGGACTGCTCTTTCAGGAAACGTCTTTTCAGTCTTAATATTTCGTCTTTTTCATTCCTCGCTTAATGAAAAAGAAAAACCACCAAACAGAATATATAATTGCTCTTCCTGATACCTTTAAATGATAGAAAGCTACTCAATATGAACGTCTGAACGTACATCATTCAGGTTGTACATTCAGTAATCGTTCCTTGAATCAATCAATCAATCAATACAATCAATCAATCAATCAATACAATCAATCAATCAATCAATCAATCAATCAATCAATCAATCAATCAATCAATCAATCAATCAATCAGGCAGTGAGCCGATAATTTTATGATATGCCTAGGCTTCTAGCTGGCCACAAGCTAAGTGACCTGCTAAGGGCTGACCTTGTGGTTGGTGCATAGGTTCTTGTGCCTGCATGAGCTTTTGACTACCAAAGTCACTAGGAACGGGCTTTAGCATCTGTCGACGATCCCTCGTCAGGGAAGTACGGAAAAGTAAGGAGGACTGGGTCTGGGTGGATGAAGCTGTGATCGGAGACTGTGATGGAGTTGGCCCCTTAAAACGAAAAAAAGATTGTTCCAGAACTGATAAGTGCTATCAAAGAAAACTGAGGCCTACAAAACTTCTTAAAGATCAGTTGTTTCTAAATTTGGGCATATTGTTTGTAGCCGATGTAAAATTAACTGTTCTTTTTTACTGTAGTCCTCTTAGCCCTGTGGTTGGTAACCGCTTCAGATTAGACGTCTTTAAGTGGCCAGTTCTCTTTCGTTTTCTTTATTATAGCGTCAATGGTAGTTTTTTTGTTGTAACAGAACGGCAGATGATCAATTACGGAAGGACAGAACTGGCCGTTGGTCGTTTTGATATCCTTCTGTAGGTTTTTGCACTTGTCCACTTCATAAAAACGTTCTTTTAGGGTTCTGTGTTTTTTAGTGCCTCCAATTTCGCTCATTTCCCTTAATTCGGCCATAAATTCATCGTCAACTTTCTCGATACGAGACACCATTGTTAGAAAACAATAGAAAAGCAGTTTTTCTTCATCATTACCTGGCAACCTGAGAGCCAATCATTTTGAAGTAAATTTTCTTTCAAAAGAAGGGAAAATTAAGAAAAAATGCCCTCTGTCTCGGCCAATTGGAATTCAGTAATTTTGCCCTCTATGCTACAAAAGTTCATTCATTACGAACCTGACTTGGATTGAGCCAGTCAAAGGCTTGCGATCTCCCCTGATCCTGAGTTGGTGTAAACTGTAGATTCTGTGTGGCTCTCAAACCAGGAGGACCATCCACTGACATAGTTTCCTGTGTCTGCGTCATTGCGGAGCCAAAAGAACCTTGTGTTGCTGCAAACAGGGGTGTCATCGTCAAGTGTCTCTGTTGCCAAGAATAGTTAATTTGGTACTCCTACAGAAAAGAATAGGACATCATGATAAATTGAGTCTTAAATCATATTAAAACCAGAGAAATCAGAATTCCAAAACTTTATAAATATCTCACCTCAAATTTACACTCAGACAAAGGCTGTTCAAACACCATTCGGTCATAATCAGGGCTGAGGGACGTCAGGTGTAGAATCAGATTTGTAGTGTAGCTCAGATACTGTTTGAGGCAAAGACGAAACTCAGTTCTGTATACCTGAGGCTTGGTAGATGTACAAGCCCATAAAAAGTTCTATCTCTCATCTTTTTTTTTCTGTGAACTCTTATATTTGAGCCAGATCAATCAGTGGAGTTTAATTCTCAAAAAACATGGCCGTTTCTGTAATTAGTGACATTATCCTTGCAAACAGTGTAAATGTGATGTGACAAGAAATGTAGTTGTGAATATCCAAACCTGACTCTCAGTGTTAATTGAATACATGGCTCGTAAAACTTCAACCAAACGTTCCAGTGTTGTTCCCGGAAGTCGTGTCTCATCACTCCAAAAATTACGCAACCTAAGCCTGAGAAAAAGATATAGATACATCTTAGTTACTGATTAGAAGGTGTATTTGTAGTTAATCGAATTTAAAGGTTTCAGTTTTTAACATAACCATATCTTGGTAACGAGTTACAAGCGGAAAGAAAATTTAAATAAGGGAAATCTCACTTAAGATCTCTGTTATCATCTGCAAGGCCTTGAAGAAGGTGATCTTTAGCAACACGCAAAATGTCTGCTGCACCGTCCTCAGCTTGGAATGTTTCATCCGCTCTGCAGATAAGACAGATAAGATACAATGTATCACTTGGCCACAGGAGATATTCCCTTCCGTACAATGTACCCCCTCTTTCTACAAATTAGAGTCAATTATGGAGGATGATAAGGAATAATGATCTGATGATACCCATATTGGTTGGTCTTCTAGTCAATACGAAAATGCCAAATAGGCCATTGGGTTTTAAGCTAGTATCTAACTTACCATGCAACAAGGGTAACACACCAGATAAAGGAAGGAAGACAACTGCAAACGTTTGACTAGAAAAACGCTGCCCTCCTTAAATTGACAAGACTGAGAATGAGAATTCGAAAACATCGAGCGTTGACTATGGGCAATTGGACCACTAAAGACATTGTGGACAAGTTACACCTTGTGACTTGCTAGAATTTCAACATGAAATTACACTGGAAGAAAACGCAAATGATGACTGCACCTGAAAGTGTCATATATCCAGATGAGTATGTCGTACATCAGCTCTCTGCATAACACACTTGGGTGAGAGATAAAAGCAGTCACCGATGGAAAAATATACTGGAGTTCTGGAATGGCAATCTTCTTCAGGAGATGCTGGATTATCCTTAGAATTGCAACCTGACTTCCTTCATCCCTACGAAATAATACTTTTACGTCGGAGGATACCTTAGATACAGTGACTGCCCCCGCAATACCAGCGGCAGACAAAACCGACAATAATAGTCACAGCAATACTGTAATAGTCTTTTCTCCGTAGGTAATAAAGCTATTATCCTAGCTAGTGAAACTCAGCAAGCACATTGCGGGCTGAGGGTGACCCAGTTTTGAGACCAAATGTAAAGCTTAAACAGAAAATGTCTCATAGTTTTCATCTGCTTAAATCTGTTATGGTTTTTGGCATGTTAAGAGTGCCTGCCCGTAAAAATCAGACAAATTCTTAATTTCGCGGCAAGGGTCGAAAATTCGATTTCGCTCATATTCTTATGGTAGATAGGCTAGGGCATGACAAAAACTACTGG